TTCTAAGTGTTGTTAGTAATGTGCACATGTATATGATGCATGAAATGAGCTAAGTTGCAAAATAAAGTATCATAGGTTATTCCACAGCATTCTGTCTGTTGAGGAGGGGAAATTTTGAGACACTTAATCTTGTTACAGTCTAATAGACATTGTTTTATGTGAAAGAAGATGATCGCAGTTATAGACGCAAGTTGCGTCTATAACTGCGATGATCTTCTTTCACATAATTCTTCACCTTGCAGTTCACATATATGATGTTCATATATTCATAACTTCATCACAAGACATTGTTTTGTTACTTCTGATTTTCTATTCATGCTTGAAGTCTTCAAGAAGGCTAATATTTTTGCTACTGTCTTACTTTTCTCCCAAATGCATTATTTAGTTCACAGTTAGAGCTTTAAAAGAGGTTCATTGCGGAGGGGAACAGAAAGTATCATGTTCGTTGTTTTGTTATGTTCATTTCCAATACCCTCTGAATGAAGTTCTATGCTGTAAATTAACTGCTTGCATTTTAGCCATTTACTGTGTGGTCTTTTTACTTACTTTAGTTACCAAATAAAGGTTTCAGCTTTGCCAGATTGGCTTCAAATTTGTTTTTATTGGCACACAATTGAGCATGCAAAACCAGGTGTTTGTAGTTGTCTTTTCTCGCTGCCCGAAAAGTGAAATACATATTGGTTCATAGGTTAGGGCGTGGCACTCTGCTTGTGTTGTTGGTCAACGGTAAGAAGTCGGGATTTTCCAAAATATGTTTCTTTGTTGAAAGAATTTTTGAGAATGTGATTGTTCAACTTATTTTTACATATCCATCGGGCGATTTTTGAACTGATGTGGAAAGAAATAGAAAAAAAATTAATTAGAATTGTTGGCTAAAATCTGTGAACCAATGAATCTGTACTTTGAATATCGGTCATTGCCAAAACAATCAAACAATGAAAATAATCACAAAGTAATTCCATTGATTAATTCGTTACTCCAATAGTGTTTTGTCAATGTTGTCTGACAAATCAGTGCTTTCTTCTTGGAGTAAATAGCTTTTAAATAATTGACGAATTAAACTTGACTTACTTTTAAGTTGAAGTTTGATCAGAATTCTATCGATTCATCAAACTGCACCAAGGCATCATGTGAGATAGCTAGATGCATGCGCATAGTCCGTACTTACAGACGAATGTGAGTGTCAAAGAAAACACCCACTAAAAGGAGTAGTGTCATAGGGCCATCCCTATTAAAACCTCAGTAGAATAAATGGTGGATACAGCAAACATCAATATTGACATTGGGCAGGTATGTGATCTTGTCATCACTGCCCCAGGGAGCCTACGAGACTCTAAAGCTAAGACAGCCGCACAAGGAAAGAAACCCAGGGTGTTTATGCATAAACAACCCCACACCTTACAGGAACAAAGTTTCGCTCATAAAAGTAAAGAACGAGAAACGCTTCATGCTAACCAATAATGCTCTTATGAACACACTTAGTAACAGTATAACAACAAAGCTGAAACACAATAACCCGAAAAATCTCTAAATTATAGAAATGGAATACTAGTCAGCTTTAATTTTCAGCTCTGGACAAATAGCCAGGCGTGCTTTGTTTGACATGTTCCGTGAACAAGAATTCAAATGCATTAGGCACCTCTTTCATGTAACCAATGTGAAGCATATGTAAACTTTGTCCTTTTTGTACAGAGACCAGGGCCATCAGCATAACCAGCTTTGGAGAAAGTGATTTTAAATCAAGCTTCTCGGGAGGGTGGAGGGAGGAAAGGTGATTTAAGACTGGTTGTACATTCCAAGTTGATTGGTTGTGTGGAATTGGTGGGCAGTCATTGTAAAAACCTCTCTTAAACCCGGAAAACAAGTGGATGACAGCTAACGGTCATGTCATTTTTAGGTATAGTAACTGCTGATATGCCATTCCTGGCAGTATTGATGGTGACGAGGAAATCTAAACCGGCAACGAGAGGTGGATCATAGATCCATCCACTGTTTGATGTATGGTTTGTACTGATTTTGCATTCCGTCAGACCAGAACTTTTAAAAGGATTATCGCTGTAGGCTTGCTGTAGCTTTTATTTATTTCTCTGCTGGAGGCTTTCCCGAAAGCGTGCAAGCCATCAGTTTCACCTGTTTGTGAGGGGGATGCAACACAAGGTCGTGTGGTTGTGTTAGGAGATGATTTGGATTTCAGAGAAGAACAGGGTTGTCTACTAACAGGTGAAGGAGAGAGGTGAACCAAGGTTGTGTCTGCCAAACGGGAACTAGAAACTGTCAATACTTGTAGAAACCTAACGTTACCTAGTTACCTAGTTCTGCCTAAACTCACTTCTTATAAAACTTGTCCCTATTACTTTTTTGCAAGTCTTTGGTATTTTGCTATAATTGTAATAAATTATTCTTTTCTGTTCTGTTCTGTTATTTATTCATTTATATTAGTATTATTAGTATCTATTATTAGTATTCCTTCCAACTGATGAAAATGGCATTGACATATTTAGCACCAGGGTCTGTTTCCCATGACACAGTACTAGAAACCTTACAGCTGTTTTGGGTACCGCGCGACCTGCAATGTCAAAAACGTCTTTGGATTTTTTTCTGGGACATCAAACAAAATGATTGCATTTTACGCTGCTGTTCATCATCTTAGCGGACCTCTTAGGAAACAGAAGAACCATGAAGCATTTTTGACAATACAGGTCGCGTGTTATCCAAAACAGCTGTAATATAAATCTGGATGCAAACAGGTCAATTTCAAATGGACCCCACAGTTTGTGTAAGTCTGAAAAGACGTCCAAGTTAAAAGACCATTCAGTTGAACTGTTAATTTGGTTAGATTCAGTGTCAGCATCTACACAGGCAGAGCCGGATGTGTGGCAAACACTGAGCCAAATGTCTCTCTCTGTACACCACAGCCAAATTTTCGTAGCGAAACTATCACACTCTGCAGATTGTTGCCCCCTTGTTTTTAACATATGCCATTGTGGTTGTATTGTCAGACTTAATCCTTATGTGTTTTCTATGAACATGGCCAAGCACGATTTCAACCCCGACAAAACTGCTTTCAGCTCCAAATAGTTAATGTGGAAAGTTTGTTCGTCTAAGCTCTAAAGATGACCATTTGTCTGAGCTCCATATACTGCTCCCCAGCCTCTAGTGGAGGCACTGGCATTTGGCTCTTGTCTTACCACGTCCTGGATTTGCCAAGAATGGACCGCCATAACACGATCAGTAATGTTTTTCACTCTGTGTCTTTCTTTTATCATCCAGAAATGACTCCCTACTGTGTTAGCACATTTTTCATGCCAGAACCATGGACAAGTCTCACACGCATCAACAATAATTAGTGTTGTCAAAGGGTCGTTGTTTGGCTGTTTGGTTCTTGTGTCGTAGGGGAGATCCTCAGGGAAGCTCAACATCTATCCATTCAAAGTAAGCATCTCCATCTTTCCTTTCATCTTTTCATTCAGTTGAGCTAGCGACCCTTTCCTTTCTGCATCAGGGAAGGCCTTCCCGACTTGGGCCTGCTTGATTCAGAAGGTCTCTTTCCCTGATGTCTCTCCTGAGAGGAGGAAGTCTGCAGTTAGACACCCAGTACAATTACACAAACAAGGTGCTTGAGGTCTGAGATCGATGCCTGCACTAGTATGGTTCTTGGTCTTGTGTGTTCTTTTGGTTGTCCATTTTTCATTGTGTTAAGCCTTCATTGCTTCCTCTCTCAGAGGTGGTGCCACTGACCAGGTTGACGCATCGCTTTAAAGATGACTGGTCCCTCCCTCCCTCTCTCTCAGCTAGGGCCATGGCAGAAAGACCTCTTGTTGATAAGTCTGCCTGGTTCATCGTTCTTGATATGCGTCGCCACTGCTCAGGACTTGTCATCTTTTTTGTAATTTCGGCAACTCTGTTAGCAACAAATGGTTTGAAGTTGAGGCTTTAAGATCTTAAGGATAACCTCACGATCCCCACGATCCTCCTGCATTAGTCGTAATGGCTACCTGTAAACAATGTATGTATCGCCTTTACTGGAGATACAGCTTTTTGATGCGATTAGACCATGAAGACAGGGTATTGTGAAATTAGTGGTGGACCAAATCGGCACCTCAAGCAAAGGCATCGTTAGAAGAATTTGAAAAGAGGTCCAGCTCAATGTTCTAAGGGTACGCCATCCACTAATAATGGGGCTGGGGGAGTTCCAATACCCATTTTTTCCCACTGATAGCAGCCACCCAGATTTCTTACATTAGGATCTTTCCTCTCACTGTATAAGGTGCAAGGAACTGAAGTGGGTTGTATAGGCTTGCTATAGTACTCAGTACATTTCGCTTGGTGGGCGTTTTGTAACCATCAGGTGGTTCTTAAGAGTTAAGTACATTTCTTCTAGCTTCCCACGTGACTTTAAGGATCTTCGTCTTAAGCAGCTCATTTTTGTTTATTTCAAGGGCAGATAGTTGATATAGATCTTCCTTGGGTTAGTCTTAAAAAACCACAGGTTGATTAAATGATAATTTTCGTAGCTTGAAAAATGACAAGGCAGTGTTTGTAAAGGACAAGCATTGAAATTCATATACATCAGGCTCTCCTGAAGTGCCAGAGGAACTGGTGATACCAGCAGTCGTCTTTCTGCAATTCCACTTGCAAGAACATTTCTGAGATTTCACTTGTAAGAGCTACAGGTGCATGGTGGAAATGAGTTAAGATGTTCCTCATGTCTCGTTGAAGCTCTGGGCCTTTTTGGCAATATGGCATCACTTAAAATCTTTCTGTGATGCTTCACCACCTCATCGAAGACCAGGTGAACTTTTGTTGTAACCCTGTCTTCTTTTGTGACTGTAAAATGGGGTAAGAACCACTGCTTGGTAGCCTGTTTTTCATGATCTTTAAAGATCTTACTTAAATGTTTCATAGTTTTTGTTCCTTTTGTCTGAAAGGACTCGTGGTTTTTGGGTAGTGTTAGGGCTACTCCGTTCGAAATTGTTATTTAAATGTTGCTTGCACTCCTTTCATGGCATTTCCACCCAGTATCGCCTATTCTCAAACTTGAGTTTTTCAGCTACATGTGGAACCACTGCTCTCTCTTCAACTGTCCTCAGTGCTTCCGCTTTTTCTTTAATTCCTAGGAATTCAAGTTCCCAAAATGCACAAACTTTCATCAAGTAGAGATGGCTTGTTAATTTGACTGCTGCGCTACATACATGTGAAATGTGAACCTGAGCTGTGTCGAAAGTCTTCCACCACAGTGGGACCAAAGCACACCCAACCCAAATTTGTCTGTCACGCAACAGAGTGATCTGGTTTGTCACCTAGAAGCTTCCTTTAACCCATGATTAAAGACTGGATGATCCTACCAATCATGATATCAATCTCTTGCCTTCTTGTTTCATTATCAAATGGCAAATTGCGAAGGTGGGGCCTTTTTCATTTAGGTCTAAACAGTGGATAGCCAGAGTATCTCCAGCAATGTTATCAACAACATGAGCTTGCAAAGGACTTAAAAACATATGTTTTAAGTTTGTTACTATCCGTTCAACCCTGCCTGAGCGTGTCCTGATTTCAGGTCTTCCTGTTCGAGCAATGGTTAGGTTTAAAGCCTGTCCATGTAATTGGAGTTCTTCAGCGGCTTCCTTCGAATTAAAAGAGCCCTTCAAACATGAGTCTAGCATGGCGTTTATCTTAAGTTGTATATCTCCAATTTTTACTTATCAGTGCTGGATTTGTTATCAATGAAATATGTTCAGCATGCCCAGTTTTCTGTGTTTGTCTTGGGCACAATTGTCAAGCGGTGCTGAAACATTAGTGTTTGTTCCTGTATCATGCCAGGTTTTAGGTTCCAGGTTAAGTTGCTCCTGGTGGAATGGAGGGGCACTTGCCTGTAGCTGCCCTTGGCTCGTCTATTATCTGGAGCATGTTCATGCAAGTAGCTGTACGTAAACTTCCGCCATCATCACATTTCGTAGCATTATGACACTCCTTTCCATGATGACCAGCAGCTGGCAACGACGTGTGCGTGTAATCAGCTCTTTTATCTTCTGTATAGGTAACTCTTATAAGACTTTGCACACCCTAGGTGGGTGTTTTTGTGTACATGTGTCAACAATGAATTCTGTTTATTTGAAACTAGTATTAAAACTTCTACTATGAACTCCATTCCTTTGCCCTTGTGATCCTTCAAATTTTTTTTCCAACCCAATTGTCCTTTGGCTTCTTCCATGATTTGTATGCGGAGCTCTACCCACTCCGCAAATGACACAAATGATGCTTGGTCATCTCCAGAGAGCTTTTCTTTTGCTTTGAGTTTCAGTTTTTGCCCTTGTAGCTCTTGACCTGGTTCGGAGTCTGGTTTAGGAATATTTCTTGTGGGCGTCCAAGTTTCCAGCGCAGTCTTGGAAGGTGGTCATCGCTCACTAGGACTACATCCCCAACTTGTAAGGGAGGGGTAACTTGTGCCCATTTCTTGTAAGCCACCAATTGAGTCACATAGTCTTGAGACCATTGTTTTCAAAAGCTATCAGCCAGCGTTTGATGATTTCTCCAAGCATGAAGAAGATTCTTCTGCAAAGAACTGCCCTCCATATCTTTTGACTTCAATTTTACCCACTGAAAGGGTCGACCTATGATAATTTCTGCTGGTGTGAGTGGGAGCGGGTCAGTTGTGTCATTGCTGCAATACGTCAAGGGGCAACTGTTTATTTGTTCCTCGGCTACTCTAAGTGTTGTCCACATTTTTTCAGTTGACAAGGGCAAATGAACTTCCAATGAATACCACTACCCTGGACCCCTTTCTGTGGGATATCGCTTTTGATAACTTCCCAGCATTGGCAGAGCTCATTGTCAGCGTTTTTAAATGATTTAAAATTGTCAGACCAAATCGCGTCAATCTTGCCACTTCTTGACATCATCCTTGCCAAAGCCAATAGAAAACTTTCGGCGGTCATGCTGCGTGTGAGCTCGAGATTTACTGCACGTTTTGTACAACACGTGCCTTCTCAGCTTCTTGGAATTCGTTCTTGATGTACAAAGGTCCCAGAAAATCAATACTGTTTTGTCAACACTGGGGATGGTGTCATTGCTCCTCTGGGAGAAGTGCTATCTTTTGTACTAGAGATTTGGTCTTGAAATAGCAGTAGATACGACACTGATTCACTACTTTCTTCACCGCACTTCTTCCTTGAATGATCCAATACCCTTGTCTTATATGCATGAGGGTATTGATTGGTTACCGCATGTAACTACTTCTCATGAGCTTTCTGGATTAGCAAGGCTATGAATCTGTTCTGGTGAGGAAGAATGACAGGATATTTTGTTTCCTCAGGAAGGCTTGTCTTGTGAATTCTTCCGCCAACTCTGATTAACCCCGTCTCACTGTCAAAATATGGAGACAGATTGTTGAGCCTTTTTTTCTTCGGTAAGACTTCAGAACCCTTAAGATAGACCAGTTCATCTCTAAAATCTTCATGCTGTGTCTGTTTGATCCAAAGCGCCTTAGCCTCAACAAAAACAACAACATAGCCTTTATTGTAGTGTCTTATAGTGCTACGCGCCTTACCGTTGCCACTCGAGAAAGTTTTTGATTAAATTTTGACATCTTTTTGACGACTGTTTACTAACTTTAAAGCGAGCCAGCCAATCAGAACATGAGAATTTCCAAGGGCGTAGATGTCAAATTATAAGTCCATTCACTCCCTTGGGAATTTACAGGTCTCACAACAAGAGAACGGAAATGACGTTCCAGGTGAAAGTTGAATACGGAGGGAAACGCTTCGCACCTTTTCTCCTAAAAAACGTATCATACGATGGTCTTGTAAGTAGCATAAGAAAGAATTGTTCTTCTTTGGCTCACCTGGACGCACATAAGATTAGACTTCACTATTGTGACGAGGGTGGCGATATGGTGAATGTTTGTCAAGCAGATTTGTTTGCTTACTCGGAAATTCTTCGCACGGAGAAAGAAAAGTCAAGCAGCAGAGGAAGAGGAAAACATCAAACGTTTAGCAAGCGCACTGGAGCGCGCCAAGACATCATTCTTTGCAGTGATGCGGCCTAGATTAAAGGCGCAGAACTTGCTCCAGTATGGTACTGGGAAACTAATGCAACTGGATCGTGATCTTCTAATTTTACAGAGAGCCTTGAACAATAAAGTTCCAGACTGGCCTGAGAGCCAGGACTGGAACTTCCACTTATCATTGATCAGTTTCAGAACTCTCAATTGAAGGCAATGATGCCGAAATTCTTGTAATTTATTTTGTCACGTTTATACGCCTTTCGTTTTGTTACCGCAAAACTGTTGATTTTGACATGTTTATTTTCATAAAAAAATAATACGTTTTAAGTTGGGTTACAGAGAACGCAATTCGTTTGGTTTTGAAGGTTTAATAATTCCAGAAAGTAAACAATAGGAAAACACACAGACGGTTGGCTATTCCAAATAAGATGTATTTCCTACAAACAAAATAAGACATGCTCTCCGTAAATTTCTCGTTACTACATGTAAGCAATTAAAACTAGAAAACATAGCCACAGTGGCAGAAATACGAGAACGAGTTTTCTGGGGATATTTGTAAAATAGCCTCCGCGATTGCGATTTTCGTTTCATGTTCTGCAAATATAGCTGTTAGCGACGCAAAACGCAAATGGTCCTTTATATGACGGAAGCAAAATTCACAAGTATTGAAATCGGGGGAGTAGGGAGGCTGAAATAATAAAGTTATGCCACAGTTTAACGGTTTAGCTAAAAGCCCACGCGTGCTTCCATCATCCTGAATATTGAATGAGTGCAATTTGTGTTGCAAAATTGTGAAATACTGCATTCTGTCCCAGGTTTGTGTGATATAAACAGTACCTCATAGTACTGTTTCACCTCAGATGTGATGTATAAATGGTATAAAAGGTAGGTTTACGCGCACCCAGATTTGTTGGCAAGATTTTGTAAAGTAAACTTGTCGAACGCAAAAAAATTCGGCCTGATTTTTTTCCACGCTTAATTAATGTTACGGTGATAAAGAGCCATTATGTCTCTTAAATGTGATCGAAGATGATTGCTGTTTTTGGGGGGTACATATGAGGCTATCAACTCAATGTAAGATTTTGTTCACTCTTAGGCTGTTTGCAAATTACCGTAAAATTCCGAAAATAAGCCCCGCCGAATATAAGCCCCCCGGGGAGCTTGTACTTGGAATTTGCCCTCGAATACAAAGTAAAACAAAGCAAAAATGGCAAATTTCCTTTCCACTACAAGCTAGCGCAGACAATTTTTGAAACGCAAATTTCCCTCCGTACATAAGCCCCTCCGAATATAGGCCCCTCCAAAAATAAGCCCCTCAAAAAGGGCGTTTGAAAAATATAAGCCCTGGGGCTTATTTTCGGAATCTTACGGTATTTTCTCTAAAATCAGTTAGCCTTTCCCTCAAAAGTCACATGAATGTGCTATATGCTCTAAAGTTAACTGAATTGCAGAATTCAAGTTTATTGTTTGATTTAAATTATAAATATATTAATGGGAGCCTCGCTTTTAGCCCTGGCTAAATCTATATATTACATCGTTATAGCTATATCTTGAAGCCTCCACTGTATAGATTCTTTAAACGTGACAGGACTCCAATCTTCTCACTTGTATTAATGCAGATCTCTTGTATATCTGACCTAAGCATAAGATCACTATCTATTGTGACACCATGTAATTTTAGTTTTTTACAGTTGGTAATATCTTGTCCATCAATGTGAACATTAATGGATCATTATTGACACGAGATAGTAGCATCTCGTTGTACTTATCTTTGTTGCCTTTGAGAAAATTATTTTTGTACCATTGTGATGCAATTTCACCATTTGCATTGAGCTTTTCTTCAACAGCATTTATAGAATTATCAGACACATAAAGCTGGTGGTCATCTGCATACATTGAAAAGTCAATGCTCTTGACAAAGTGTGATAAATCATTTTGATACGAATTCCACATTAGAAGTCCAAGAGAAGAGCCTTGGGGACATCCCCTTTGACATGTTTCCAATCAACCAAACCAACCTAATCTAACTCTATTCAGTCTTTCCTTGAAATATGATCTTAGTATGTGTATGGCCATATAATCAAATCCATATGCTTGAAGTTTCCTCAGCACAAGTGTATGCTGCGAACAATCATATGCTTTTGACAGATCCGTTGATAAGATCCCTACACTCAAATTCCAATCTAGTGACAATTTCCAGTCTTCTACTAATCGTATCATGGTTGTTTCACAGGAATGGGTGTTGCGATGTGCAGTTGAGTATGGTGAAAGTACAGTGTCATAATGTTGACCAATTTGTTTACATATCGACTGTTCAAATACTTTGCCAACTGAATCCAGCACTGTTACCGGTCTGTAGTTCTTAACATCAGATTTGTTACCCTTTTTATACACGGGGACCCACTCACCACTTTTCCATGCTTTGGGCCAACTTCTCAAATAAACACTGGTGCTAAAAAGCTTGGTCATGGATGGTGTAATGCCAGGCGCGGCTAATTTCAAGAGTTTTGGAGAAAATAAACTTGGACCATTTGCCTTTGACACGTTTAGTTTATCCAACAGTTCTTTCACTTCAGTCTCATTGAATTCTTCTGCTGATAACACTCCCGTGTTCCTTTCACTTTGCAAGCCTTTAGCATTTTTCAATTATATATGCAATTACTCACAGCAACTTCTGAAGAGAAAAAAACCTTTCTGATTCAATGATACATGAGCAGTACCTGATGGTGTAACAGTTCTAATGTAGACAGCTCCAGCATAAAAAAAAAATAGTAAGTGTTCTGTGAGGCATCGCAGAAGGCATGAATTTCTTTCTCCATTGGATCTGGCAATGAAGAGAAATAGCGTTGAAGAACCTCTACCTGTTCCATCTTTTTCATACCTTGAAGCCGCTTGCTCTATTTTTTCTGAATGGATAAGGGTAAGACATCGTCCCAGCCGGACTGATCTTTCCATAGTTCTTTTACCAGTAATTGGACTCTATAGTCCAAAAGGATTGTAATCCTTAGCCACGAGACTAACAGGTTCTCTTTTAGTTCCACTTTTGAGCTCATGTTCAGCAAACTTGAAATGAAGGGTGTCCGACCTTGGATTCCAGCTTATGCCAAGTGCTTTCTGAAACTGTTTGCCATCTTTGAATTCAATTTTTGTCTCCATTGATCTTTGATAGTCAGGAATCTCTTTTATCACCTCTTCTGAATTACTTGCCCAAAGTTGAAAGCCCCTGTGAGCCATAAGCTGTGTCAAATCATGATATAATCTAATGACTGTCATCTGATTTGTCTCCTGAGCAAAGGTCTTCAACATAGAAGTGGTCTTTGACTGTCTTGGCAGGTAGAGGGAATTTCTCTTTATTCTTCTCCGTGTGATGTCTTGTTGTTGCTATTGCCAAAAAGGGACATGATTTTGCTCCAAAAAGTAGAGTCGCTATTCGCATGATTCATCGCAGTGGAGCACCCAAGTCCAGGTTGTGCCAAAGATAAATGAAGACA